TCTGACTGGCATTGCTTCCGATGAGAAATGTGCTGTTGTCCTTATCTTTCATCCTTTTTACGTAACACGTCTTCTTTCTTTGGCTGCTTTTCCGCTCAGGCCTATGTGACCTCTGGGAATTCTTCCTGATGATCCCTCCTGGCGGCTCTTCTCGTGGCTTTGGGTCATTTCCATTCACTCATGCACTGGTCAGAACTCACCGGAAGACCCCAGGGAGACAGACCCTCTGCCGATGCCTGCTCCTCTGCACTGAGCCTTAGCCACCTTGGTCTCCCAGCTCCCTCTGCCTGGGCTCCCCGCACTGTGCCCGGCGCCTCGGATATTTTCTCTAGACAGCAAGCTGGGAGAATCCTGGGGCTCACCTTGTTTTCTTCCTGCCTCTTATGGTTCAGTCTTTTAGTGCCTGATGATCAATATCTTAAAAACTGCTGTTTCTTATATTTTTTCTGGTTCATTAGTTGTTTGAGGTGGTATGGCAAATCCTGTTCCTGTTGTCCCATCTTTGCTGGAAGTGGAAATGTAATGTATTTTACATTTTTTTCATCTATAGTTCCATACAATAAATGAAGCAGTTTCTCTCTCAAATCAATAACAGTAATATTTAGCCCTAGCTGGTTTGGTTCAGTGGATAGAGTGTCGGCCTGTGGACTGCTTTGATTCCAGTCAAAGACACATGCCCAGGTTTCAGGCTCTATCCCTAGTAGGGGACATGCAGGAGGCAGCTGATCAATGATTCTCTCTCATCATTGATGTTTCCACCCCCCCTTCCTTCCTCTCTGAAATCAATTAAAAAATATTTTTTAAAATAATATTTATGGTTTAATGGTGAGATTTGAGAATATATTCCATTCAAAACTCCTCTTTCAGGATATGTAATGTTAATGTCTTCTCTTTTTTAAAAAAATTTTATTGAATTTTATTGATTTTTTACAGAGAGGAAGGGAGAGGGATAGAGAGTTGGAAACATCGATGAGAGAGAAGCATCGATCAGCTGCCTCCTGCACACCCCCTACTGGGGATGTGCCCGCAACCAAGGTACATGCCCTTGACTGGAATCGAACCTGGGACCCTTCAGTCCCCAGGCCGACGCTCTATCCAGTGAGCCAAACCGGCTAGGGCATATCTTCTCTTTTTATAGTTCAAAATGGACTCATGACTTTTCAGATTTATTATATATGTCAGTTCATCTTGGCCAATAGTCTCTTTTTGATGCTTAAATACTCTCAATTTGGTCAGTGGGAGCCCCTCTTATTATGGCCTCCATTATTTCAACTTGATGCTATTTATCTTTCAAGTTTTCCTTCCTTCCTGGCACGCTAAGATTTTCCAGGCTCACCTTGTTCTTAGAACCTATTGCTCCAGTTCTTGTGAAGACGAGTCAAAGTGTTGTGGTAATAGGACCATGAACTTGAAAACTTTGAAACAAGGCTTTTGTTACTTCCTTAAGATCTGTATGCAGACTTACCATGAGGGAAATGACCGACTGCAGCTGGAGATGATTGCATCTCAGGTTTTAAAAAATCAACTTTGTTGCGATATAATTTACATGCTATAAAACAGTCCTATTTTAAGCATATAGTTCAATGAATTTTGACAAATGTAACCACCACCATAATCAAGATAATAGAACATTTCTATTGGCCCACAAATTTCCCTGTGTCCCATTATAATGAATCCATCCACTACCACCAGGCAGACAACCTCAGATCTGCGTTCTGTTACTTTAAGAGTTCTTATGGCTTTCTGGAATCTTATATAAATGGAATAATACAAACATAGGCAAGTCTTTTGTGTCACACACATACACACACACACACTAATTATGGTAACTAACTCCATTAGGCAGAAGTCTCTAAATTTGGGTAGCCAAGTAGGTTACAAAGACAAGTACAATAAGCCAGGTATATAAAAAAATCAAATGCGAGGGCAGGGGGGAATCTAAACAATTTTTTTTTATTGGACCACAGTGCAAGCAAAAAACATACAAAATTTATAATACTGGATATTTCAAAGATAAAATTTAAAAATATACATTGAAAACTAGAAATCTTTCATAATCTCTTACTCCTTTGACTTAGAACCAGAAACCTGACACCTTTTTTCCTGCATCAAGATGTCACTGTCTAGTCTCGTATTTCGAGATGCAATGTGTAGAACTGAATTCAATCTTGCATCTTTTAACTGGGAACAAAATTTCATTTCTCTCAATTTCATAGCAGAAAACAACTGTTCACAGACATAGGTGCTTCCAAACATGGACAGAATCTTTGCACAATGGTTTCTATACCATTGCTTGGGTAACTTTTGCTGAGGTATTTATAGAATTCTGGTATTCCAATGTCATCATATTTCGTTTTCAGTACCGCATTACACTGCAGTTCAATAACTTCCATTTGTAATTCTTTTTTTAAAAAAAATATTGTTATTGATTTCAAGGAGGAAGGAAGAGGGAGAGAGAGATAAAAACATCCAAGATGAGAGAGAATCATTGATCGGCTGCCTCCTGCAAGTCCCCTACTGGGGATCGAGCCCACAACCCGGGCATGTGCCCTTGACTGGAATCAAACCTGGGACCTTTCAGTTCACAGGCTGACGTTCTAACCACTGAGCCAAACCAGCTAGGGCTAAAATTCTTCTTTAACACTAGCAATGTTAATTGAGAAAGGTGAGCTGAACAATGTGAGTTCATAATGTTTGAAATCAGAGAACCTTTTCTGGAATTCAACTCTACAATTTGGGGATATAGATTAAGCCATCACTTTCATTTCTGGAAACTGATTTCAGTGTAGGAAAGTGAGCCAGGTTATTTACTGCTAAATGAGTTTCCTAAAGATTCAATTTTGCTAGGAAAGAGCAAATTGAGTCATACATTTGTGTAACTACTTGTGAACGTATTTGCAGAGAAATATTCAAAGAGTTTAAATGATTTATAATGTCAACCAAAAAGGCCAGGTCTCTGATCCAATCTCTGAGCTGGGGAAGGGATCTGTCTTTGGATGACAAGAATAAATCTATCTCTTTTCTCAATTCAAAAAATCTCTTCAGCATCATGCCACGACTAAGCCACCTTACCTTCGTATGGTAAAGCAGGTTACCATATTGTGCATTTAATTCCTCAAGTAAAGCACTGAATTGTCTGTGGTCGGAGCCCCAAGAGCATAACCAGTTCACTGTGTTAATCATTACATACATGACAAGTTATAGTTTTAAGTTTTTAGTAAAAAACAATTTCTGGTGAATAATGCAGTGAATGGATTTAAGTTCTGCATCCCTGCAAAACATTTCGACCTTGGATTTAAGGTTTGCAACAAGTCCAATGTTATTGCAGACCATTGCAGGAGCACCATCTATGGTCACACTTACTAATTTTGACCAGTCAATGTTAAACTTTACAAGACTTTTCTCAACATACAAAAATAAGTCATTTTCAGATGTTGGGTCTGTTATATAATTAAGTGGCTCCTGTTATTTATTTATGTGTTCTCATCAACTACAAGAGAAAATGTCACAAAGAACTCCATTTTTTTTTTTGCAACTTGTAAGTTTTCAGCCATATCTTTTACTCTCTGAGCAACAGTGTTTCCAGTTAGACTTATGTTTGCAAATGCATGTTTCTGTTCAGGACACATGATTTCCGCTGCCTCAGCAGACAGACTTTTATAAACTCACCATGTGTAAAAGGTTTTTATGCTCGGGCAATTTTTTTTCACTTTTTACATAACTGCATTTCGCAGCAGCATCACTTGTTTTGTTTGTATTCGATGATAAATGGTGAAGTAGATTTAGACCTTTTTTGAGCTCATTAAGCTTTTCATCACGCATCTTTTCTGTATACCAGTCAAAATTCTTACTATGGTTTGTTTCATTATGTTGCCTTAAGTTGTATTCTTTTGATACAAAGTTTGGTTACATATTAAACACATAGGGCTATTCTTTACTTCCACAAGGAAATACGCTCCTTCCCACTTTTCTTGAAATATGCAATGCTCTCGATCCACCTCTTGTTTTCCCGCTTTTGACAGAGACATAGGTGCAAAAAGAGAGTTGACCTTTATTTACTACTAGTGGCCCGATACATGAAATTCGTGCATGGGGGGGAGGGGTAGGGTGTGTCCCCAGTCCGGCCTGCACCCTCTCCAATCTGGGACCCCTCTGGGGATGTCTGACTGCTGGTTTAGGCCGGATCCCACGTCCCTCTCGCAATCCGGGACTGCTGGCTCCTAACTGCTCACCTGCCTGCCAGCCTGATTGCCCCTAACCACTCTGCCTGCTGGTCTGCTTGCCCCCAACTGCCCCCCACTGCCAGCCTGCTGGCCCCTAACTACCCCCCACTGCTGGCCTGCTTGCCCCC